GAGCGCGGGCGGGGAGGTCGGGAAGTGCGGAGCCGGCCCTGGGACTCGGGCGGGCAGCCGCCGTTCGCACACCCGGGGTGCCCACGCACCTGGCCACTCACCTGCGGCCTTGACCGCGGCGGCCTTGAGGGTGGCGTACTTGGCGTAGTCGGCCTGCAGCGTCACGCTGCAACCAGCTTGCAGCCGGGGGCCACGCGGGGGCCCTGGGGTGGCCGACCCCAGGGGCGCGTTGTTGAGGCGTTTCTTGTCTGGAGGAGGGGGATGGAGAGGAGGAAGCAAGACCGGACTTGGTCGCTGACCGGGACGCACTGCACTTTCGCTGCCACCGCTTCCCTGCCGGCTCCCCGAGGGCAGTTCAGTGGGAACCTGGGCAGACTCTGGGCAGCCTCTCCAGCGCCCGAACAGAGCCTGGCTCAGAAGAGCGTGAGTAGGACAGCCAGCCCGCGGGGTGCTAACCTAATGGACGGTTCGCCTCTGGTCAGGCTTGAGCCGGGCTCCCTCCAGTCCCAGGACCTGCTCCCCGCAGAGATGGGGGAATGTTTAAGGACCAGAGCAGGGAGGGGGGACTGCCAAGCTCTGCCTTCCCAGAGATCAGAGCCTGGGAACAGCCCCAGCCAGCAGATCTGGAGTCTGGAACCTTCCTCACAGCATCAGTCCCTGAGACTCAAGGTAGCAGGACCTTTCCACAAAGGTGAGCTGGCCGCTTGTCCAGCTCCCACTCACACTCCTGGGCCCTGTGCCCCCAGCCAAGGGTCGCAGTCTGCCCCTCAGCATCCCCCTTGCCCTGCTCTCTGCAGGTAACACATGCCAGCCCCTAGCCTGCTCACCTGTGCTGTTGCGGGGGGAGCCTCTAGAGAGGCCATCACTCATCTGCACTTGCACGCAGCTACCCAGGGCTGGGCCCAGAGGTGGAGGCAGAGGTTCCTGGGGTCCTGGTTGCTTCAGAAGTTCTGTCAGTGTCCTGTAGGGGCACAGTGGTGAGGGGCGGTTCTCCTGGCCCCTTGCCTCCCTGTCAGCCAGGCCCTGGCCCATCAAAGGTCAGCCCCAGCCACCACCGACTCGCTGGGTGGCTCTGGGTCCTTCCCTCGACCACTCTGGGCCTCAACTCTCTCCTGTGATTGACTTCACACATCTAGCTTGCCCTATTAGGCACGACCTGTCAGCTCACCTGTGGCCTCAAAGACGGCCACTTCCCAGGTCAGGTCAGGAAACCCTAATAGGGTCACACAGAACCAGGGGTGCCACATTTTCCCGGTCACACAGAACCTGGGGTGCCACATTTTCCCGAGACTTCCCTTCCCGGAGAAGCCCACTCTCCAAGGCCCTCCCCGTACAGCCTCCTCCCAACACAAGCTCCCTCTGCCTGCATCCCTTCCTCCATCTGCTCCCATAAGAAGCCTGCTCATTCTGCAAACCCCACTGGAGCCCCCCTTCTCCAGGAGGCCTCCTTTACCTGCCCCCTAACTCCCTCCCGCAGCAGGGGTGTCTGCTGAGTCCTAGCACAGCCATGGAGGCCACAGAGATGAGAGGAGGGGGAGCCCAGCACCCAAAGGCTCTGTGACCTTGGGCAGCATCTCCCTAGGTACCCAGGACACCCAGCCCCCACCTAGCTGTAGTCCTGAGCCTTTCTGCAGACAGCCCGCCCAGCCTCAGCCCAGCACCACGATTTTCTCCTACTCCTCCTGACCCTTCTTCTGGGGCCGAGGCCCCAAACAGCTGACTCATGAAGGGGCATGGGGAGTGGGCACCGTGTGGCGAAGTCTGGCTGCAGTAGGTAGAGTCCGACGGCATCCTAGTACTGCCCACTCCCCGCAGCTCACCTCGAGGAGGCATGCAGCCCAACTCTCCCAGGGACTGTCCTACCTCGGGGCCTTTGCATGCTCTTTCTCCATGGCTGCCTCCAGCTGCCCTCCAAGCCCTCCAAGTAGCCTTCCCTGGCCATTGGCCCCCACGCAATAACAGAATTAAGGGTGAGATTTGGGGGGCAGACAGGGGTTCAGAACACCCACACGTGAGCCCAAGACAGCTCTGGGTCTCCCAAGAGGAGAGAGGGGAGTCATGTGAGCCTGAAGCCCACAGAGGGGAAGGGAGTGGCCCTGCCTTACAGCACATCGGGGTGGGGTCTGCTCCTGGGCCGTCTTCCCTGGCCTGCTCAGGAAGAGGGTTCCAGATGAACATGTCACAAGGCTGCCTCAGCCACCCCACACCACAGGGCCCTCAGCTGCCACTGTCCCATCCTGGTCAGGGATGTACCCTGACCCTGGTATCCATACCTAGCATGAGGGACCCCAGACTCAGGAGTTCTAGTCCCTGCCGCACAGGACCTAGGACCCAGGCAGAGAGACCACAACAGGAGGCAGCAGAGTGGCTGAGGGTGGAGGCCAGGGACCCAGCCCATCTCTGCCCTACAGTTGTCTGGGAGGGGGTAGGCCCAGTGGTCTGGGGCAAGGGCTACTGGAGTGCCAAGGAAGCCCTCATCCCCGACCCCTGCAGCTGGGTAGTGGGGTGAGGGAGTGCATCCACTCTGCCCCACCAGGGTGAGGGGCCTCTGCTGTCACTTCTAAATACCAGCCTGTCCCAAGCGCTGTCTGTGGCCCAAAGGCCTGGCCCCTGGACCAGGTAGGGAGGGCACACAGGCTGTGAGTGAGGGTGTGGGTGCGAGTGTGGTGAGAGCTCCAGGGGCAGGGCCCTTAGAATCCCAGAGCCCCACTCAGCTGAGGAGGGAAACCTGGGCCCGCAGTCCTCACGACCCACCAAGTTCAGAACTCGGCCCGCCCCTGACCCTGCCTCAGCAACACCAGATCTGCTCTGCACACTTCCACAGCTTGTAGAAGAGGAAGACCTTTGCCTGGGGGCTTTTGAGTGAAGGAAGGCCAGGCCTGAGTCACAGCCATAGGGGGCAGGAAAATGCTAGGGGAAGGAGGAAGGGGGTGGGGGAGGGAAGAGAGGGAGAGGGCCAGGTGGCCTCTCTGCCCTCCTCCAAGTCGCCCAGTACTAATTTAGCTTCATGCCCTGCCTGGCTCCTGGGGCTTGGGGCCTTGACAATCCCTTCCCCTGGTTACGACCTCATGCCCCCTGTCCAAGGTAGCCAGCCCTCCTCGCCCTCTCCAGAGGAAGCCGAGCAGGGAGGGCGGGGAGGGTGGCCCGTGGCCCAGCCAGCCGGAAGGTCAAGGGGAGACAGGGCGGTATCAGGTGTCTCCCTGCGAAGTGGGGGTAGGAGAGACAGCGGAGAACCCGGGAGAAGGGGGCCTGCTGAGAATATCAGGGCTCCGAGGGGGCGGGAAAGACCGAAGGTCGCGCGGAAGCCGGCCGGCGGGGAAGGAGGGCTGGGCTGGGGTCCCGGGCGGGCGGGCGCGCTCACCTGGTCACCGTGCGCCGCGCGCGCGGGCTGTGCGCTCTCTCGAGGCCCAGGCGCGCCCCGATGCCCGCCAGCACGAGCAGCGCGGCGACGCCGC